CCGATAGGCCCAAGGCAGTTAGTTTCTAGAAACAGGAAAATAATGCATCAATGGTATATTCAATCAACATTTATTTCTCTCTTTCTCAACCAATTAATTATCCAATTAATTAAACAATCGTAATTAAGCATTTTTAATATTACCATTTCAACCCTTAGGTCCCATTTTCTAATGATTCAAGCAATCATTCCATTTTTGTATGCCAAACATGCAATCTAGGTTTGATATGAATAAAACACCAACTTTTAAAATTACAAGCAAAGACCCAAACCTTCAACAAAATTTACCAAACCAAGCCCAACATCTCAAATACCAAAATTAAAGACAAAATCCATAGAGAGGAGTAGGATATCCCTACCTCGAAGTTTAAGCCAAAAAGGAGATGAAGGCCCGAAGATCAACTTGCTCCAAATCCAAACTTTTTCAGATTAAATCGAAGCTCTCAACGCCCTCTATCTTTTTAACAAAGGCCTTAGGCTAGATTCACACCCTAGGGAGATCAAATCTTAGAGAGAGTGCAAGTTTAGAGAGAGAGGGTGTCGGATTTAGGTTTTGCTCAAAGAAAAGAAGTGAAAAAGTGATGTGTTAGACGCTGCTGTCCGCTGATATAAAACACTCTCGCTCGAGCGAAGGATTGGTCGCTCGAGCGACCAGACACAGAAAACTCTCGCTCAAGCCAAGAAGTTCTCGATCGAGCGAAGAAAAACCCAGACCGCTCGAGCCACGAAAATCTCGCTCGAGCCAGAAACTACAACTCTCAGGTCCAGAACCGGGGCAACACTACTCTCGCTCGAGTGACAGACTCCTCGCTCGAGCGAAGGACCAAAAATCTGGGCAGCAACACTAGGCTCCCAAGCACAACCAACCTGTAACAAACCTGCCCAACACATCCCATAATTCAAAATACAAAGTAAAGAGGATGCAAACAAGATAATAAACAACATCCAACATCCACGGACACATGTCCGGATCACTGTACAACAAGGGTAAACCCGGGATCGCTATAAAAAGAATGGTAGGTTGGTTATGTTTTCTTACTGTGTTGCAAAACTTATGGAATATATTTTGTTGCCCTGGTGTTTTATGCCAGATTTTGACGAGTAAGTAATGGAAGCTGAGATTGGAGCTGCTACTAATATAGAACCTTGGCTAACTTGAAGTCAATATTTTAGCAAAATAAAATTTTTTTATCTCTTGTATTAATTATTAAGGATGTTATAATGTTGTTTACCGTTGTACGTGGACTTTAAATTTTTTTTTTTAAGTGTTGTTAAACCTTTGTGTGTATGAGAAGTGAAACTTTCCTATCAACATGTTAAAAAATTTAATTTAATAAGTTCTTTTATTATTAATTTTCCCATGATGTTCCAAAAAAAAAAAATTAGGGCATCACAGTTTGTTTGAGGCCAAAGGTAATCAAGTGATTATTGGCCGGTTATGACCCAAACTTTTAGAGGCGGGTTCGGGTCATGACACTTTCAAAGTCCCTCAAAGATATCTTAGAATCCATTTCACCATTGCTCAATGTTCTTTACCCGGATTAGAGAGAAACTGACACAACACACCAACAATGTGAGCAATATCTGGTCTTGTACAAACCATAGTGTATGTCAAAGAACCAACCGCTGAAGCATAAGGAATTTTCAACATCTCTTCCTTATCTTTCTCATTTTGTAGGACATTGATTTAAACTAAGTTTGAAGTGACCCGCAAGTGGACAACCAACCGGCTTTGCTTTATCCATGTCAAGAGCCTTCTCAATGTAACTTTCTTGAGACAACCAAATCAGTCCCTTCTTTCAATCACGAGCAATCTTCATATCAAGAATTGCTTTGTCGGTCCCAAATCTTTCATAACAAATGACCTGCTCAACTCCAATTTCAACTTGTTAATCATGGAAAAATCCTGACCTACAATTAACATGTCATCAACATAAAGCAAAAAAATAATAAATTTTTTATCCAAAAAAATTTCACAAACACACAACAGTCCGAAGTGATTTTTGAAAAACTATTATTCATCATGAAATATTCAAATTTTTTGTATCATTGTCGTGGTGCTTGCTTGAGGCCCTACAAACTTTTTTTCAATTTTCAAACAAATTTCTCTTTCTCTTTTTCTACAAAACCCTCCGATTGCTCCATGTAAATTTCTTCTTCAAGATCACCATGAAAAAATGCAGTCTTCACATCAAGTTGCTCAACTTTAAGGTTCATGCTTGCTGTAATGCCAAATACAACCCGAATAGAAGACATCTTCACAATCGGTGAGAAAATTTCATCAAAGTCAACACCTTTCTTTTGCCTAAAACCTTTCACAACAAGACGTGCCTTGTACCTTAGATTCTTGTCATCATTCTTCAATTTGAAGACCCACTTATTTTTTAGAATTTTCCTCCCCTTAGGCAAATTTATCAAATCATAAATGTGGTTTTCAAGCAAGGAATTCATTTCCTCTTCCATGGCCTTTTTCCTATCACTTTTTTATGCATGCTCAATTGTTTTTTGGTAGCTCTTAGGCTCTCCTTGATCAGAAATCAACACAAATTCATTGGGAGGATATTTGTCGAGGTTGTCGATCCCTTGTAGATTTCCTCAACTCAAGTTGTGGTGGCGGTTCTTGAGTTTCATGCTATTCCTTAATTTCAAGCTCAACTTCATTTGGAGTAGTATCATCATCATCTTCAAGAGGGGGCTGCACATCTCCTTTATTTTCATCATCCACCCAAGACAAAGGAAACAGATCCATGTCAATGAGATCACTAGTTTTTTTTATTCCAATTGATCACCTTTGCCAAAGTCTTTAATTGTTTGGTCTTCTAGAAACATAACATCACGACTTTGAATAATTTTCATGTCAATCAGATCTCACAATCTATAACCAAATTCATCACGCCCGTAGCCAAGAAAAATGCATTGCCTGGACTTATTATCAAGCTTGAACCTCTCATCCTTTGGAATGCGAACAAAAGCTCGACAACCAAACACTCATAAGACACATCTTTGCCGGTCTAAACTCTTTCGAGAACATTATCACTCAAAGGATAGAAAAGAGATAAATTGATCACGTCAACCGCTGTCATTGCCTCACCCCAAAAAGATCCTGGCAATTTAGCATGTAAAAGCAAACACCTTGTTCCTTCCACAACGGTGCGGTTCATCCTCTTGGCACCGCCATTTTGTTGAGGAGTCTTCTTAATTGTCTTTTGATGCCAAATACCTTGGTTGCGACAATACTCATCAAATGACCCATTGTATTCCCCACCATTGTCCGTCCGAATGCACTTCAATTTCAGTATCGTTTCTCTTTCAACCATGGCTTGAAAATGCTTAAGCACATCTGGAACTTAATCTTTAATTTTTAGTGCAAAAACCCAAACTTTCCTTGAATAATCATTAATGAAAGTAACAAAACAAAGTGTACCGCTATGTGTTCTAACTTTCCAAAGACCACACACACTGAATGTACTAACTTCAAAACATTTTCTTTTGTAGTAGCAACATTTATATGAAAGGAAACTCTATGTTATTTACCCGCTAAGCTATGAACACAAGTTTTAAGATGCGTATTTTTCAAACCAAGTAGAAGCTCTTTCTTGAACAAAACTTGCAGCCCATTTTCACTAATGTGCCCAAGTCGTTTGTGCCACAATTTAGTAGAAGCATCATCCTAAAGTGCATTGACAACATCTTTACAAATTTTTCCTTGCATCGAATAAAGTGTGTGAGTCTTCTTGCACTTAGCCTATAGCGATCTTAATTTTTCCTTTCTTTGTTTATTGTACTCCGGACTTGGTTCCATGAGTGTGTGGTTGTCATATTCTCATTTCTATCCTTTACTCTTTATATTTGAGTCTTGGGTTGTGTTGGGCAGGTTGGGAACAGGTTGGTTGTGTTTAGAAACCAAAAGTTGATGCCTAGATTTTGGCCTTCATGCTTGAGCGGGGCTTTTGACGCTCGAACGGGCCTTTTGTTTTGCTTCTCTGCTCGAGCGGGAGTTTTGACACTCGAGCGTGATTTTCCATCTCCCAGTATTTTTTCTCTGCAACTCATCAGACGCTCGAGCAGGGCTTTTGAAACTCGAGCGGGACCCTTTGATTTTGTTTCTCCGCTTGAGCGGGGATTCTGACGCTCGAGCGGGGACCATGGTCTGCAAAACTTCTGGAAGTGTGCAATCGACGCTTGAGCGGCGCTTTTCACGCTCGAGCGTGAGTCTATGTCTAGTGCTCGAGCGGGGAGTTCCACGCTCGAGCGGGGCGACTTTTATATCAGTCTGAAAAGTGACTTTTTGGATCACTTTTCTTTGACTCTTTCTCTCTCTAACTTTTCAAAACCTCCATTGGAGAGCTCCTCACTCTAAACTTCAACTTCTCTCTAGGGTTTGATCTAGTTTGAGTGATCTTTTACCTTAGTGTCTTTGTAAAAAGTGTAGAGCTTGGCTTGGGCTACATTTCCATCCGAAAATCTTGGGTTTTGGAGCATTTCAAAATTCTTCACCTTCTCCATTTGGTCTCATCTTTTGAGGTAGGGATAACTACTCGTTTTTATGATCTTTGACATAAACTTTTGGCCATTTTGATTTAATGTTGAAGTCGGGTGATTTTGGGTGTTAGAGTTTCAACATGAATAAAGAGGGGTTTTGCTATTTTGGCCAATATATGTATATCTTGGGTCTTAAAATGAGCTTATTGATGTTGTTGTTAATATTTGAGCATTTGGGTCAAGTTTAGAAAATAGAGAGGAAAGCCCTAATTTTATGATATGAATTAATTTGCATAATTAATTTGGAAAGTCATGGAAATATGAAGGGAGAAGTAGCTCAGCTACGGACCAAGTGTGTGTGTGTGTGTGTGTGTACGTCTATGTAGGTTTTTTGTTCATAAATATATATACAACTCGGATAACAAGTTGAGTTGTGACTAGTTCTCATAATTTTCACATTCATTGTTATTGACCTCGCCAAGGGAATTTCTGATATCTATAAGTTTCCATTTGTCGCAGATTGTTACTTCACCTTGAAGGCATGGAATGCACAGAATGCTGGAGCAGCAGCTCTTCTAGTTGTGAACGACAGAGTTGAACCTTTGATCACCATGGACACCCCAGAAGAAGAGGACACAGCACCAGATTATCTGCAAAAAATAACTATCCCTGCAACACTAATTAGCAAATCTTTTGGTGAAAATATCAAGAAAGCTTTATCTAATGGTGAGATGGTTAACATAAATCTTGACTGGAGAGAGTCTCTTCCACATCCTGATGATCGGGTTGAGTATGAGTTCTGGACAAATAGCAACGACGAGTGTGGGCCCAAATGTGATAGTCAGATCGAGTTTGTCAAGAGTTTCAAAGGAGCAGCTCAGATTCTTGAACGGAAAGGGTACACTCAGTTTACCCCGCACTACATAACTTGGTATTGCCCAGAGGCTTTTATCTTGAGCAAACAGTGCAAGTCTCAGTGCATCAACCATGGAAGGTACTGTGCTCCGGATCCAGAGCAGGACTTTAGTATCGGGTATGATGGGAAAGATGTTGTCGTTCAGAATTTGAGGCAAGCTTGCCTTTTCAAGGTGGCCAATGAAAGTGGAAAACCGTGGCTTTGGTGGGACTATGTGACCGACTTCTCAATCCGTTGCCCAATGAAAGAGAAGAAGTATAACAATGAGTGTGCAAATCAAGTTCTTCAGTCACTTGGTAAATTTCTGAATGTTTCAATTTGTCATTATGTTTCTAGTTGCACAACTTTAGGTTACTAGGGTCTTTGGGCCTTTTTTTTTTTGATTTGTTTTTATTGGAATTTTTAAAAAGTGATGTCAAAATAGTTTTTTAAAGGTCCATCTAATCTAGATGACCTTGAAAGTTCAAAAAATTTAAAAAAAAGTTTATCAAAGATGAAAATAGGCCAAATTTTTTAACAATATAAAAAAGAAGAAGCTTATAAAAGTTGGTTGGCATATTTTTGTCTTTTCTAAAAAAAATTTGAGAATTTTTCTGTGTCTTAAAATTTTTAGAATCTTCTAATCTAAACAGACCTAAAAAGTAACATTTTGACTCAAAGTTGAATTTTTTTACTGAAGACGAGTAAACCTAAAAAGTAGCACAAGTTTTGAGTTGCAGCCAAAAGAAGTCTTAATTCAAATGACATAAGAGCTTGAAATATTAGGAATATCCCACTGTAGTACCCACAAAATCTTCATTATGCATTTGTCCTCAAGAGTATTGCATATCATTCGATGATTTGATTTGCAACCGACTAGTAATTTTGTAAGATGCTTTCTCATTCTTCATCATCAAATCCTAATCCATGTATTACTCTTGTCAAATCAATCGTGGCACTGCATGTTTCAGTAGTTCTAATTTTCAGAGTGTGCAAATTAGATTTACTCCTTGGTCTATTGTTCTGATATTTTTGTCAAATTGAGTCATGTGTCATTAGATGTGAAATATCCAGAAATTGTGTCTGATTGGGACTTTTTTTGGGGAAAAGAAAAAAAAATAAAAATTTGTGAAACCAATAGCTTTTGTGGGCATATGAATTCTGAAGAAAGCACCTTCGGATTTTATTTAATTTGGTTGATTTTCAATCAGAACAAGGATGACTTAACTAAGACCCATGTACTGTATATTCTAACAAATTTTTGTTTGTTTCTTGTGGTAAACGTTAAAGGGGTTGATGTCAAGCTGATAGACAAATGTATAGGAGATACTGAAGCAGATGTAGACAATCCGGTCCTCAAGGCTGAGCAGGAAGCACAGGTATTAAACCAAAGAGATTGATTCTTCTGATACTTCTCTCTCTGTGTATCATGTTGATAGCAATATTGCATTTTCTTGGAAATCTTGTTTCAGATTGGCAAAGGCTCACGTGGAGATGTGACTATATTGCCGACCCTTGTCATAAACAATCGACAGTATAGAGGTTCTAAGAAACTATACTTCGTAATTTCAGTTACTTTCTAATTTCATGAATCTGCTTCTGGAGTGTGTACTTCTTTCTTGTTTCAGGAAAGCTGGGCAAGAGTGCTGTTCTGAAAGCCATCTGTTCAGGTTTCCAGGAGACCACGGAGCCTGCCATTTGTTTAACTGAAGGTATCGACTTATAACCCTTGCTTTTTAATATTGAAGCTAAAACTCCTATGTAATTTTTTTTCATTTCTATTATTGGCAATTACGAGTGATGTTCATAAGGGATCTGATGGGGATTTTTGCATGCAGCCAATCAGTAGTGAAAAAATATATGAATTTATTTAATTTAACTGAGCATATTGACCTTGATGAGCTGAGTGAAGGAAAAAGGATTCATGTTGCTGACCTCAATTGATTGGGTAACAAAACAAGGCTTCATTTGGTTTGGTTTGGTTTGGTTTGGTTATTTCAATTGTTAGCAATTGGATGTTTGTCTCCCACCATAGGGGTGCAGTTATCGTTTCATAATAGAAACCAAAGCATAAATTGCAAAAGAGTCCCTTTTTTATAAGACTACATAAGTTTCATTTCCAATAAGTCCGAGGTCATAAACCAGAATTCTAGGGTTATTACCTTTCAATGTGCATGAGGTTAATGTAAATGGGAACAAATGCCTAGTCTATATCGATATGGTTTTTTTATGCATAATTAGTGGAGGAACTTGTATGGGAGCAACATGTTAAATTTCCTGTTACTTGTGATTGCAGTCCTCAACTCCTTATAGTGTGCATGGATCTGGTTCTTTTTAGATGATTAACTTCAACAATCAATAATAAATCATATACATATATATATATATATATATTATAATCTATGCAATTTTTTATGGATGGGCCCTAATATTTTCTCATGCATTTTCTTTGCAGATATAGAAACAAACGAGTGTCTAACAAACAATGGTGGATGCTGGCAGGATAAGGATGCTAACATCACTGCATGCCGGGTATGGAACCATTTCAGTTGAATGCTTCTGGGAAAAATAAAATAAAATAAAATTTCTTGTGTTTTTAGAGTTGAATATGGTTGGATCTCTTCTAGTTTTTTTTCTCTGATTTTAAGAGACTTCTTGTAGGATACTTTTCGAGGGAGAGTGTGTGAATGTCCTATTGTGCAAGGTGTAAACTTTGTTGGTGATGGTTATACTCATTGTGAAGGTATGTGTTTATTCAAATTACGAGTGTAAGTTTTGCTCCTTTTGGTATATTGCTCAAGAGACAATAGATCAACAAATCTAGCTAGGAAAATCATTTCTTGAAAAGTTGTGGCAGTAGTTTCACCCTTTTTTAGTTAAATCAAGTAAAAATGCCCCCTTTTTTAGTTTCACCCATTTTTGTTTTTTCAGTGCCATCAGCATAAAAAAAATTATCACCATGCCTGATATCTTACTCCATTAAGGAATTTTGTTTTTCATGTCTTCTCACTTTAGATGAAACAAGAGAATATTTTGGATGAAAATGTCTAGCAAAATAGATTTGATTGTTAAGTTGCTGATTTTTGTGATTTTGCTGTTATAAACAGATCTTGTAACATCAGTTTGATTCATTGTGGTTCTGATGTCATTAATAACAATGTAACTCTTAAATTTTTGTGGCAACCTTTTTTTTTTTTTTTCCTTTTTTGATTGAATTGAAATCTTAACCTACGCTTACAGCCAGTAAATAGTATGCTGGCTGCAGGGGTGTGTACCCATAGGATATTGAAATCATAAGATACAAGGACTTGGTTGAATTCTTTAAATGCGCAGTTTTTCTATTTTTATATCTAAAATAAGTATCAAATAGATAAGATACCGTCTCCAGCATGATTCATAGTCTTACTTTGAAATATTGCAACTAGGTGTTCATCTTCCTTTATTGTATTGGAACCTTAAGGTTGTGTTTGGATTATGGATTTGAATAGGGATTTGGAAGGGAAAGGAAGAAGGTGAAGGGAATGTGAATGGAAATGGAAATATAAGCTAAATTTGTTCCCCGTTTCCCCCGCCTTTTCCTTTTCCTTTCCAAATTCTTAGCCATTCCATGATCCTAACACAACCTAATGGTCTCTTCCAATAGACATGTTTAACTAATATCCTGCAGCCGTACACAAAGTGCCGTCAGCTTAGAAAGATGATATTTACTCTGATCAAGCGGGCATCTTACACTTTGAACAAGCTGTTGAACTTATACACACAGCATTCAGAAATTTATATTTGCTTTAGGTTTTAGATTCTGATACTTTTAGGCCCCATATTGGTGTTAGGGTGCATTGAGCTTGGATGACTTTTTGCAACAGCCCTTGTAGTGCTTTATTGTGTTTGGCTTCATTCTTAAGAGTACTTTGATTTTTGGAGTAAATATATGCTTGGTTGTGTCTTTCTGTGTGGCTTCAACTCTTTGTTTATGACTTTTACATATTCCTAGTTTGGGAATCGAATCTTACTCTTCCAAGAAAACACACATACAAAAAAAGAAAAAGAAAAAAAAAAGAAGCTTCAAAAATAAATGTCAATCCAATTTATAATTCTTATACAGCCTCTAAATAATTATAATATACAGGATCACATAATTGTCATTGTCAATTAGCAACTTAACGTGTCGTTTAAAGCCACCTACCAATGCTTCCAATGAAAAATTGTAAACAAAACAAAGTTTCTTTTTATTACACGAGTATTAATCACATGACAACGTTCATGTTCTGTACGAATAGCCCATCAAGGTAAAGATCATCTGACGATGGATTAAAGATAACTACTTTTATAAACTTGTATTCTTTATAAAACTAAATGATAGAAGGAAAATATTTTATTAGGATCTTTAACTAGAATCTTTATTTAGCATATATAAAGGATTTCAAGTAACTACTTTTATGTTGTTATTTCAAATCGATCATGAAAAGCTATCAAATTCAATCTTGAAATCCATATCTAAATTTGAGCAATTCTTCTTGAATGAATAGTGTCAAATTATTTCCTTTCAAATTCATAAATCCAAATACAACCTTAAATAATAACAATCTGAATTCCTTCTAGTTTCCTTATTATGCTTGCTTGTCTGTAGCTAAGTTTTTTTTATTGGAAAGATGCAGGTAAAGATGCTAATACAGAGGTCGGCTGGGGCTTTATTTGGGTTATTATTCTCGGTTTGGCTGCTGCTGGAGTTGGTGGATATGCAGTTTACAAGTACAGAATCCGGGTATGCCTTCATCGCTTTGTTATATCCAACAATGTGATGTCATTCATGGCAGGCTTGAAGCTGGATTTCTTTATCTATCGAAAAGAATAAAAGTGATTTGAGCCAACAACTAACAGGGGCAAAACACATGTGAGAACTAGTAGAGAATGTTTCATGAGGGACGGATGAGAAAAAAGGGAGGCCTTAGGATAAGAAAAATATAATAGTGATGTCTGTCGATTATCTAAATGAACTCGGTAATTGATGGAGCCCGAGTGGGTTTAAAACTCAAGTGGGGCACAAGGTGGGGAAGAGAAGTTTGAGAAGAAGACAAATAGAAGATACAAAGGAATTTTTAGTTGTCTGAATGAAACCCGGTGATGATTTAAATTTGATCTGTGTCCTACTGGTAACTGGATCGATGAACTTGGATCCCAAAAAACTCTTACATGTGATTTAGTAATTTAAAGCCCATTTTAAATGCTACAATAACTGTTACACGGTCTTACGTAGAACTCAACCCCAAATGCTAGCTATTGAGGTGAGGATGCCCTCATGCTTATATACTTGACATTACTTTGGTACCTAGGCGATGTGAGATTTCACTCCACAATAAGTAGATCCAAAGGTCATTCTGCCCCTTGTCCCTGAATATAGGTAATAATTTCTCATACAATGTTGCTCATATCTATTGGGATTGCCCTTTTTGTCAAGTGTTGTGAGCTTGGGATCCAAAGGTGGGAGGATTTGAAAGTACCCTTCTAGGGGCATCCCTCTTCTAATCTAAGTGGAATAGATAGAATTGTTTTGGAGCACCAAATTTCTTTTTATCTTTTTGTAAGTGTCCACTTGTATTCATTGTTGTTGGAACTCGATTCTTGCAGACATACATGGATTCTGAGATTCGGGCTATCATGGCGCAATACATGCCATTGGATAATCAAGGGGAGGTCACTAATCACATTCCTCACAGTGGTGTATGAACATGAGGCTCCGTATTGAAAAGTGGACATGGAAGATCCCCCACCAGCATTGATTTGGTTTAATTTTCTACCTTGGTGGTGGTGGCTTTGTTGCATTTTGCATTTTCTCTCTATTGTCTATTCTCTGGGGAGTTTTGTTCTCTTGTTCATATTTATGTATACAGAATCCGAACTAGTGCTCATAAACTCCCAACTTGGGAAATTTTCCTTCGATGGAGCTGGCATATGATGATTTTGGTATAGTTTCTTTTCTCTCATACATATATGACACGTGTCCCATGTCTTTTTTGTTGGTTATAACATAATTGTCACAATATGATGGATGAAACAATAGACCTACCAATAGAAGCACTTGCAGATTTTACCCTCTTGTACATCACAAGAATAATCTTGTCCTTTTGCCATTTGTTTCAGGGATCATTGTTGTTATGTTGTTCAAGAGAACAAACTCAGTAAGTTTGAATGGAGGGTAGTGTTATGGCTGCTTTGTTTTTTTTCTCATTATACCAAATTAATTTTTTTAAAATTTTAATGTTCTCTCTTTACATTCTTGCGTCTCAAATCGATGATCATTCTTAAACTCATTCAGTGTGTTTGGTTTGAGTTTTTTGAATTAAGTTTTTTAAAAACTGAATTTTTTGATTTTCATGTTTTTTTGTTTTTAGTGAATATTTTTAAAATTTTAACCATTTTTTTTTATTTTTTTAGATACACCTTACTTAGATGTATCTAAAAAGTAAAATTTGTGAAAAAATATTTTTAAAAATTAATAAATACATAAAAATATAAAAAATGTACTGGATTCTCGTATTTTTTTTATATTTTTGGTATTTAGTGAATTTTTAAAAAAAAAATTTAATTTTTTTTTTTTACTTTTTAGGTGTATTTATGTTAGGTATGTCTAAAAATAAAAATAAAAATTGCTCAAAATATTAAAAAAATTAAGTAAAAACAAAAAAATACGAAAAATAAGAACGTAGAATTTTCTAAAAAGTGTTTGAAAAATGATAACCAAACAATCTGATTATTTTTTCTCTACATTCATTACAATCATCCTCTACTCTTCTCTTTCCCTCCTCGCTCCCCCTTGGATCTAGGGTGGCGGCATAACTAGGGTTTTGAAGGTGGTGAGAAGGAATGGTGGCAAGGGTTTTTATTGTGGGAGAGAAGGGTGTGAGGTTCGGCATGGGGGCTATCAGGGTGCTGAGGCAAGGTTGCTGGTGAAGGAAGGGGGTGGCAGGGTAATGAGGGAAACGGGAGGTGGGTTTGTGAGGGAGGAGGGAGGAGGGTTGGTGGTCATTTGGGACCGAGGTGGTGGTAGTTCTCAGAGAGCATTAACAAGGGAGGGAGGGAAGCTAGGGGTGGCTGGTGAAAGGGGGTAAATTCTTTGGTGGGGTGGGGGCAAGTGAAGGCACCAAGGATCCTCTAGAGTGAAATTTCCCTAAAGTTTTCTAAAGTGCTACAGTGTATGGTTGAGATATTGGCAAGTCACATCAGAAAATTGATGTGACTTGCCAGTAAATCTCAACCATACACTGTAGCACTTTAGGAAACTTTA